ACAACGGAAAATAAAATCTCCGTAGACTGGATGTTCTTAACATGATTTCTGAAAGTATTAGGTCAGCCCATTTAGCTCATTATTGATAGAATTCATTTTATTTCGATAATTAGGTGGGAATTAGCTTTCATGTGATTCATTAAATGGTTTTGGAATCATCTAATCAGTGAAGTTATTATACCTGAGTGAAATTTAACTGAATGGTTCAGATGCAAGCTAAGCTGATGAAACATATTGCTACTAAAAATAAGCATTTGCATGGGGCGGGCGTAATACTGATATTACTTAGAAAAACTTTATGGTTTCAAACGCAAAACTGACACTCAGATACGTATTTATATATTGATAAAAACTTTTTATGTTTCCTAGAATGAATCAGTCTTACCTCAGACCTTAATGAAGGTCAAATCTAGGTCATTCTACAGAGTGAAACCAAACAATCTTGACCATATTTTTTGAATGCCATTAGTTTAGTAAACAACTGCTAGAAAATATGTCCGACGGGTTGTATAAAAGCCTCTTCGCATCACATTTGTTGATAAGCAGGCAAACAAAGTCATCAAAAGTTTTTGCCTGATAACCCAAAATTCAATATTATTCTGATTTAAACACTGTTTTCAACTTTTCACTGAAGTTTAATTTCATGCCGGTTGCATAGATCAATACAGTCCCAAACTATGATTTAAGTTTTACCCAGTATACATTTATCAAGATTTGTTTTCAGGTTATTTAATTGATTTTAAGAACCATTTCATCACAAACCAAAGTCACAAGAATACTAAATAGCACTTGACGTCTAGTGAGTCTTAGTTCAAACCCAATAAGCCTTAATGATAAAACTAAATACTGAATGCTAGTGTGAACATCTTAAGTAGGAGGGTCGACAGAAAACCGTGTAATAAACATTGATTGATTTATGGTTATGATTGTCTCGCTGGACATGCGATGTAATGGTAAACGGACAGTAACACACATCATTCATTTACATGATAGCTGAGCGTTACTTGTGGTGAGTCCAGTGATAATGATGACCTGGTTAGCAGTTGAGTTATGTGCGTCAGACGGCAGAGCTCACGACTGATAATTCGTAGCCAGCTGGTTGAAATCGTTCCACGACTGAGATATCCATTTCAGTATATGTCCGACATTACCAATAAGGGGTCTGTTATCATGTAAGAAGTAAAAACCTGTGAGCCATTAAAAAGAGTGAGAATAAGGGGAAGTTGTTAGCAATAATTAGCAGCGAAGTAAGAAGATATTCACAAACACATGGTAAGAATGATATATATATATATATATATAACCACAGGACATGGTAGTATTTCGTGGCATAATTGCTTGTTCAGCAAGTCATGTATATTTGCTAGGTAGTGAATTGCAGTGGAATCGACAGTACTCATTTCGTCCTATTCGGGACTCATCATCTGGATATTTTTACATTCCCCCTGGCCTCATGTTCTAAGTGGTCTAGTGGGTAATTCTTTGGCGTTTTAGACGATGGGTTCTGGGTTCGAGTCCCATAGGCAACACCATCACTCACCGGGAATGTATGCATATCCTTCCGACAAGTTCTCAGTAGAAGGAAATGTTTATCCTAGGTTCTATTGCTAGCCAGCATACCCGAATGACTGATTACAAGTGAATCCTCAGATACCGTCGAATCGTCTGTAGCAGACGCCAATATGTCAACAGAGACCTAACATTTCGATTCAGAAACCTTCCAGTAGAATTTCCATTTGCAAACCTTTGTCTTTCTTTCATGCTTTATACATTGTTTCACAAGGATCTATCAGTTCTCCTCTTTACAAATTATTTTGTTTCTCCGCTTTGTAATACTCTTGAGAAGACATAATACGTAATATGCTACTAACAAAATCTTTTCAGTAGCACACGCCATATATATATATCTTTAATTTTGTGGCACATTATTACTTATTTCCAACAGTTTAATATACCCCTGAATTAAAACATCCAAGTATTTCTGCTGAAGAAAGTTTCACTTAGATAGTGAAAACCTTAACCAATCAAATCCCCATAAACCAACACTTGAACTTCAATGAGATGCTCACTAGCGACTTGCCCTATTCAGGTAGGTAGTTACCTGAGGTTCTAGTGAGAAGTTGTGAGCGGTAGGGTGCAGTAGGTCGGGTGTGAAGACAAATACTCGCCAAAGACATTGGCTAAGGGTCACGCTACGTCGTGAATTGGCAGAAGTTAGAATTCAAAGACCGGTCATTGGATCAGGTCCCAGCGGCTTAATGGTATACGAGCTCGCTAGCCTTGTAACCAAAAGGTCCTGGGTTCGAACTCCTGTGGTGATTGGTTGCGTACTACTGAAGAGTCCCAAACTAGGCTAACGAAACAGTTGTCCAGTACTCCCAAGTTTTCCAATGGTTCTCTAACTAATGTCAGCTCATGATGAAATCCTGTAACCAATCAAAACCAACACCTAAAGAAATCTTATTTTTGTTTTCTAAATACACTGAGATTATATGAAATAACCTTATAGTATTTTACAAACCCTAAAGAAATCAAGTACAACCTGTATTCAATATTTCAGTAGCGCATATTTTGTTCTCGGAAATAGTTTTTTTTAAACAATCGGGCATTCAACCAACGGTCAACATTGATTTTAAACTGAACCGAAAGGAAAAAAAATTAGATATTGGCTCCATAAATTTTAACTCTCACTGGTTGATTTATTGGATTATCCCACAAAATTATTTTTTCCATCTTATAAATGTTATTATCCCATCTTGTTAGGACGTAAATTGTGTGATACACCTTCGTTTAGAAAGCATTTTTGCCTTAATTAACTTAGCGTTGCAAAACCTCAATAGATAGACTAGTGATAGTGGGAGTGGATAAAAAGTTCTAGCTTACTTAATTACACTAAACAACACTAATGTCTTTGTAACATAATTTATAGATTCAGTTAGGTAATTCAATAATTCATTTTTAGGGTGTAATAGAGAAAAAACAAATACAAGTGTCGCTGGCATTTTTCCACAAGCCTACATTCAGATAAGTCAGTCACAAGTATTACCATGGGTAATAATAGCTTCATTCTTGACGGAATGTTTACGTAATATACAGAATTCTGTGCGTAATCTACTGCATAATATTTTGCTTTCATCCAAAATCTTCAAGTAAAAAAGGTCAGCCATCTGTAGGTTTCCATGTGACGTACTGCTATTCGATCTGAAGCACGGACTAATCCTTTACAATATTTTGCCTTTGCCTCCAAGCTATGTGCACTGGAAGTTTGAAGGTCAACTAAAAAATGCGCATGAGTACAACTCATTTTGCAACTCAGAAATATATTTGAATGATTAACACATTGATAACTGAAAAAAATATGAAGCATTGCATTGGGTGAAAATTCAGGCAGCCTAGTGATTTAGGCAGCTAATAATGTGTCAAATAGCTGTGATTACAATTCACCAATTTTGAATACAATTCATCCTGTGAGAAAGCGAGCTTTAACGGCAACATTTTTTATTCCTGTACTTTCCCAGTGGAAAATAGGGCTTCAAACTAGAGGCTTGAAGTTTCGGTAGCAGTAGTGTTTACTTTTAGGGGATGGGGTTGCTAGACTCATACCCAATCTTTCCTCTTTACCATTCTTATTACTGGCTTAGAGAGGTAAAGAAGTGAGTTGGCCGGGGATCGAAATCTGAACCACTTGAGTGGTTGGCGAGCATTCTACCGCTGTACCAACGACGCATGACGACAACATAGTATGTTGAAACGCTTAAAGATACTGTTTCCAATATCAAGCGAAACATGAGTTCTCCCGGGATCATAGATTCACAAATTCTGCCAATGTTTAATGTTACAAAGAGAAAATAATAATATTCCACTATCGAAGCCTACAAAAATGTTTCTTGCTGCCCAATGTAAACATCTGCCTTTTCCCTATTTTTTGGTAGTGTGACCGATTGTTTAAATACTAAATGACTACTGGTTTATGCCTAAATTGATTCATTTGCCTGTCCAATTTTTCCAGCTGATAAGGGGATTTATCAACACTTTTTGGTACATTTCACTGTATATGATAAGATAAATAAAAGTTTGTGATAAGTAACTGATCAATTTCATTCGTAATGATTGCTAAGATTGTCGGGAAAAGTGATGGATAAAGAGAATGAAAGTAATGAAATGAGTCACAGAACCAGTCATGTTAAGAGATCAGCCCTAAAGAACGAGTTCACTTCTTGAGCCAAATCTAAATCACATTTTACTTTAAGTTTTGATGTATAATAATAATAAATAATAAAAGGCCAGCGAACTCGGAGACAATTAAGCTGCAGAGACCCGTACCAATGGCCAGCCCATGAATTCTAACTTGGATCGGGTCCCAGTGGCCCATTAGCCTACGAGCTCACTATCCCTGTAACCAGAAGGTCCTGAGTTCGAACGCTAGCGGTGAGTGCGTACTGCCGAAAAGCCCCAGAGAGTTAGAACGAAACAGCTGTCTGACAGTACTCCCTACAGGTTTTTCAGTTGTTCTCTAACTGATGCCAGGTCATGATGAAATCCTCCAACCGATCTAAATGAGATTACTTTTGCCCTTTCGTTGCAATGTTTTAACACATGGCTATTAATTTTCAAGTTCGTAGGAATTTGACTAGTTTCAAGTTCGATCATGAATTCATATCAGCTAAAGAATTAGAGGAAATCATGGAGTACTGGACTTCTATTTTGTAATAGTTTGAGACTCTTCGTCGATGTGTACCTCATCGGAGATCAAACTCCAACCATTCAGTTACCGGGACGGAATCTACTGGCCCGTGAAGTTTAAATTCTATCAATTCACGATTTGTGTATAACAAGATATTTGACAGAATATGATCATTTCTGTTGACATCGTGATATATGATAAAAGATAATAGTGAAATTACGGATGGGAGTTACGTTCATTTAGAATCGATTTGAAGTTTTTTCCTTGACTGAATTTAAACAGGGTCATATCAAACGTCATTGTCTAACTCAAAGAAATGTATCAAAAACTCCTAACCTTTTTACTTCAATTTCTTTTCTTCTTGTTCATTTTAATTTTAGAAATAAATAATATAAGAGTGGAAAATTTCTTCAGACCCAAGTCATCTTCTGGTACTTCAGGTAATTTATTTGATATACAGAATAATCCTGAAGACCGATCACGTTTAAACGACTCCTTAGAAAATTTAACAGAATCACTGAATTCGCGTAAACTTGCTCTAAGATTGGCACCTTGTTTCAGTAAATCAAATAATTCCACTTCCTCAGTTGTCTATAGTAGACTCAATTCAACAAGGATTGTTTCAAAATTGTCTAATGAATTTGATAGTAAAATAAATAACGAAAAAAGTGATATCGTATCATCAAATGACAGGACAAATGGTCATTTTGATCCTTGGTTGGATACAAGTATAAACCAGCGAATTCATCAAGGTGTATACGAATACTTAGATGCTGGACTGGAGGATATACACGAAGAATTTGATAATGTGGAAGAAGGAGATAAGGATGATAATGTTGGTGAGTTGGAAGATTCAATTAATACTAACAGTCAAATGGAGAATGATTCTTTAGAGTCAAACATTTATAGTAAAGTTGAGCAACGTCAGCATTCACGTCAGCCATCCACATCATCTTCTTCATCGGCGTCATCAGTATCGTCTACCTTTAGAAAGTTACATCTCAAACGTTTGTTTCAAAGTACAAAATCCAAGATTAAAGTCTCTTCATCTTTACAAGGTATGTTACACCATTTCTGTCCAACAGACTGTTTATATGCTTTTAAATATTTTCTACCTTCTTAAATGGCTAACTTTCTTTTCTGTTAAACTCACCAACAAATACGTATTTTATCACTGTGACATTTCTAAAGTGTATTGTTTACATGAGGCTTTCCAGAATATAGGTCAGGTCTTCAGAAACCATAACTTCTAAGTTAATAATTGTTTTCCTATCATCAACATTCATATCGAGTAATTTTATAATAAACACCAACTTGTTTCTCCATTTTTTTCTGTTATCTTTGTTATCGTTCACCCCTTGACCTTCAAGAGGAACATAATGCTTTAGTAGCATATATCCATTGTATTCTCTTACCTATCTTCTTCTTCTTTATCCATCTGTACAACTGTCCTCACATGATCTCATTTATGTCACCTTCAGATGCTCAACCGGTTGATACCTATTCGATTTGCAATCGACAGTCTGACGTGTGATATCACTCAACGTTCCAAACCACCTATATTTCTTTCTGAGAATTTGTTAAGCTGTAGGTTCCTGACTGGTTGGCTAACGGTCAAAGTTTTTTGGTGAATATCATTTCTTATCAGTTACCTCAACTTCAGCATCAAGCAAAGCCAGCCGCTGATGAATGTTTGCGTTAGCCTGGTGGAGCTGTTTTCGGTGATACACGCGTCAACTTCCCTGAGTATAAAGAAACATTGAGTTAACATTAGTTTCAAAAAAACTCCGGTTTTCGTCTTTCTGGTAAGTGCTATTGTTTTGCACACTGATTCGAAAATAATGAACGTCCATCTTGTTTTCCAACCCTGACTGGCTTTGCCGTCAGTGCCGTCTGTAGCTGAAATAATGCTATCAAATTAAGTGATTTAGATTTCTCCAAGTGATGTCGATTAGTGTGAATATCTTTGTCACTTGTCGGTTCCTCTTTGCCTGATAACTTGCTGGCTTTCTCTCGTATATCTATGGATTTATGCTACATGAGACAGATCTGGTCTGCGAAATCCAGATCTTCTTGTTTTTTTTCAGCTGTTCAATGTATGGACACCACTTTGTTCTCTATGGCCTGTCTCAGTTATCCAGTTCACTTCAATCAAGAATATCACCAGTGACAGTAGAAAGCCTCATATTACCCCTATCTTCACTAAAATTACTGCTGTGAATTAACTGGCTTGTGGCATTATCACATAGCTGTTAAATGAGGTTTATAACGATTTGCGATAGGGCATCCCATAGGGTTGAGGCAGTTGGTAAGCTACCTCGTGACTGGCGTCACCGGAGGTTTTTCCAGAGTCAATAAAACTGAGGTGAAGAGCTGACTGCCATCCTAGGCCATGCTCGATGATGATAGGTAGTGATGCAGTTTGATCCGCACACGACGTTGCTCTTCCTGAATCCAGCTTGTTTAGGTCGGAGTATTGAATCCAGAATATCGTTTTATTTTTCAAGGATGATGCGTCTTAATGTTTTGCTCAAGTTATCGAGGAACATGATTCCAAGTTAGTTCTTGCACATGACTACATTCCCCTTCTTTGATGGTCTAGCAAAATAGACAGTCTCTCGGCACCAGTGTGGATTCCTTACCTTTTTTTGCATACCCTTTTCAGTAGTGAAATGAGCATGTCCACTGGAGTCTCTAAATCTGTTTTCAGTGTTTCTGGCGGAATCTCATATGACACTGTTGCTTTCCCGTATTTATGCAGCTTCATGGCCTTCAAAACTCTAGTCTTTGTGGGTGCATAGGTGTTCACTGGCAGTTCTGTGTCTGCTGCGAATATTTCTGAACGAATTTCAGGTGTTGATCAATTTAGGAGCCCTTTGATTTCGTCAGCACTGCATTTGCTCTCTTGTACATCTCTGGTAACTGTGTTTCCTTCACGACCTTTCTATGGTTTCATTAGCGTTTATTCCTCCCGGATAGGGATGCCGTTATTTAATATAGCGTCGTGAGGTCTCTCTTACCTGCAGCCTCATCTGCCAGTGCGTTGTGAAAGCGTCCTTAGTGTTGTAGATAGCACATGTGTTCACTGTTATGTTCAGTGAGCTGTAGATTGCACTCAGTTTCTCTATTTGCTGTTTATCTTTGCACCGGCTCATCTTCTGTTTCGCTGTCATTCTCTCCTCTACTAACTTCTAAATGTCCACAGGGAGCTATTTCTTCTTTTGGATCTCCTTGTTTCCTACGATGTCTATACAATTTCCTTCCTGTGTCTCTTCCAGAGAGTTCCAGTGTCATTCCAAGGAGGTTTCTGTGGTGATGTTGTTTATATTGCCTCCAACTTTTCCTGATGACTACCGTAACGGTTTCATTTGTAGCTTCATCCCTTAATTTCTGATTTCTAAGCGTGGACTATTGGCTGCCTGAAGACATATGACCTGGACTTTGACTATTATTGCTTACAGTATTCTGTAAAAGTCAGTCCCCTTTTCCACTGTGTCAGTGTTGTTTGTAGGTGCGTAGCATTAGATAAATGTGGCTTTTATACATTTTGAATCGAACCTAGTTGTCATTATCCTGGAGGAGATTGATTTCCAGTGCATAAGAGCCTTCCATGCCGTTGTTAACATCATGATAGGCCGCCATCTGAGTGATCAAAATACATTTCTGAGCGTCCAGTTGACAATGTTGACAGGTCACTTCTATTAAATCTGCAACCGCAAATATCTTTCACTTCTATGCCAAATCTTCTCGTTTTTCTGTAATGTGAGTAGCTTTGTCAGCCGTACATATGGTGTTGACACTCTATGCCCCTTTACTTATTGTTTCTTTAGTCAAAAAGAGACAGGTCGATAGACTGGCTCCATGAAGGCCACCAGTAGACGTCATTTATCTTCCCCGATTCCAGTGGACAATAAGTTTTTTTTTCTGTTCATTGTAGTTTTAATAGAAAAAGGATAGGTCTTAGAATGAGCTAGTTAACTGGGTGAGGTTGTTAGAAGTCACCCATTTGCCGGTATACTGATGATATATTTTGCTTCAGTATACCAGATAAAATAACGTTGTAGCGTCTCTGACTGCAGCACTGGATGAGGCGAGTTCAAATTTCAGAAGGGACATGAGTTCCTTCAAGGTTGCAGACACGCCTTGCTGACTGGTGAGTGCCAACTAGCACCATAACCTACGTGAAGCAAGGCTTTCTGTGGCCGATTGCCTCCAGCTATCTAATATCATCAAATCAATGTGTGCACCGTGACGGTGAGCCACCTAGAATGGTGGCCACATTGCGAAACCTGACTGATAGAATTCAGTCTGCACCAAAAAAAGGACTAGACACGTCACACTAGTTACTAGTGTCCAATCAAAATAACGAATATATTTCTAAACACTTCTAGGCTTATGTGTTTTGTGCCTGTTGACACTTGTAAGTAGTTGTGATAATCATTCAAAGATCATATCGACGAATTTCTCACCTAATTACTGGATTATGACACTCTGACATTCAGGTGAATTCCTCATACAAAAAAAATGTAATCCACAAAAGTACAAAAACCGGCAAATACTAAGTGAATTGCACTTTTAAATATCAGACGTGGAGAAATTAGCTGATTCACTTAGGTGAATCAGATTTTCCGCTTAACGTAGGATGCCAAGAAAAGGATGCCAACCAAAAGATAGTCTGTAAAAACAAATCTTAGTAAGTGTTTATTGACGACTAGAAGAAGAAGCATTTGGGTAATCGCACTTTCTGTTGTGACCATAAAAATCTGAAATGTTGTTTTTTATCAAATTACTGGTTACCACAGATTTGTTTTGATGGTCTATTTACAAAAAGAAAGTAAATGTGGTAGCTATGTCGCATTTTACAGAGAGACAGATTTTGAATAAAACTGCACTGTGTATGGATGGAATTTTTATTTTTATTATTGCCAAATAACTTATTCAGGGATTTCACTAAAGAACTGGAGAAAAAACAGAAAAATTTAGCAAAGAATATCACTTTCGATAATTTCCTCTTCTGGCTCTACAATAATATATATGTTTATGTACACAGAATGTTCTAGAATAGTTGTCAATATTATTAATGGTATTTTTTTAATAATATCGATTTTTTAAATAAGATTAATGGAATTACAGTTCATTAAAGATGCATAAATTATAATAAGCATACAAATATAATAGCTATAATAGCTAATTTTGGACACACAAGTTAAGCTTCTTATTGTGGATCTCAAAGGCCTCAGCAATATGTAGCAGACGAACTCTTGAGGTGAAGTGAAGATTAGTTGGTATGCCGCAAACGACTTTGAGAGCCTCGTTGACATCAACCTTGTGTTCTGTATCCACAAGATGAGATAGAATAGCGCTACGAATAGATTTTGTTTGTCCTTTACTTAACCATACAAGAGGATGATCTTTGTAAATCCAACGAGAAACACGCCTAATTGTACGGCCTGTGTAACTGGCTGCACAGGAGCAGTTAAATTGGTAGATACACGTGGATTCACATCACCTCGCTTGGTTAAGTAAAGAACAAACAAAATCCATTCATAGCTATGCTTTATCTCATCTTGTAGACACAGAAAACAAGACTGATGTCAACTAGGCCATCAAAGTCATTCAGCGCATACCGGCTTATCTTAACTTCACCTTAAGAGTTCGTCTACTACATATTGCTGAAACCGGCTGTTGGGATCCACAATAAGAAACTTAACTTATGTATCCCAAAAGAAGCTGGTTCAGACACCATCCTTACCTTGGTCATCACTGTTCTAGTGATTGTCAATTTCTTGTGGAAATTTCCTTCATTTCATTTGATATTCCATTTGCTATTATATTTTGTATGCTTATTGTAATTTATGCATCTTTAGTGAACTGGAATTCCATTGATCTCACTTAACAAATTGACAGTATTTAGAAAGCGCCAATATTGTTATTGACTACTATTCTAGAACATATATATAACTGAAGAACGAGAAGAGGAAATTACCGAATTAGCTAGTCAGAATTCGGGTTGTTTGAAGTGGTTATACTTCCTTCGATGAATCATACTGAGTACATCACTGATGAATACAATCCTGAACGAGTAAAACGATTGTTCATTCTTTCGGTCACTTCAATCTGCATAGCAAACTCTAACAGTTGACGTGAGAGGATCACTATTACCCACATAAATTAGTAGTATATATCAACAATAAATAATTTTGACTAATAAAAGAATGTTTAATCCTATTTTGACAATAATACAGTTAATTAATTTCGTATATGTTTCTATAAGAAAACGTGGAGTGAGTTGAGATCAGATTATTTCTCAGACGAAGATGCAGTAATTCATCACATAATTTTGGAATAAATATTCCTCTCTAAGTTTCACTGATAGATTTTTGTAGGCAGAAAAACCATTTAATGATATCAGTAGACATTATTTAGATTAATAAATGATTATTTTCCTTGAGAAACACATTCATCAACCTGAAACCAATCTGGAAATCTTCGTCACTCAGCCAGCATCAACAACAAATTTCCGTCGGATTTTCAAAACAAACGTCAAGTCAGTTAGTTCTTCTATACGGATCAGAAACTTGGCGGGTCGGTCACAAAGAATATTTCCAACAGCCTGTTGCAGACCAGACCTTTATCAACCAACAACTGTCTTCACTGGATCTATATTGAAAGTCAATCAGATGGCCGGATCGGAAAGAATCACCAAGAAGAAACTATGGCTGGGAACAAACAAAACAAGAACCAATCGCCAACCAACAAATATGCAGGAGAAAGTAGAGATGGATCGGATGGACACTCGTGGCTGAGGAGGCCGCCACTGGGTGACATCGCGCGTGCGTCAGGCTATTGCTCGAGTGGAACCAGGCCGAAAGGGAAGCGGCAAGCGGGTCGTCAGTGCAAGGGCGACATGGAGGAGATGGTGTGAAGAGAGAGGAGTTGAAACAGTATGGACTATTATGCATGGATGCAGATGAAAAGTACAGCAGAAGGAAGACAGAAGCAAGTGGAGACGTGCAGTTGAAGCGCTATGTTCCACTAGAAACCCAAGGGAACAATAATAAATATAAATAATTCTCCTTGAGACAATAAAGGCTTTCGTTACAATTTTAATTTAGGCGGCCTGCTTGAATTTTTGGACTACCGAAGCTGCTTTCCACCAAAGTACCTAATTTCATCTAAGTTTATCATTGTTTTAATCGTCCAGTCAAATCAGATGACCTTTATTTGCATGAACTTGCACACTGATTTAACTTGCCTCCAAGTTAATGCTGTGCGATTCTTCAACGAAATGAAGATCTTCAGATTATCAGTTTACATGTAAATCCTGTATGATGAAAAAGGTATTTTGGAAGCGAATGCCCTGAAAATTTCTGTACCATTAGTTGACATATTGTCTGAAATAAAGCTTTATTATTATAATTGTCATTAATATTAACAGCTTGACGCTATACCAAGCGAACTGGTTAATAATGACATAATCTGAACACTTATTTAAGGAAAACATTCATTGTACTACAACTCAGTATATGCAATGTAATCACAGCTTGCCTAAGACAGACGTCTAGTATATCATATATGTAACTGACGTAATAGATGAAAAAGGAATAGTGTAGTTTCAGGTCGTATAAATCATTGGGATCCTATGGCGTTGGAAAGGTACGGATATATTACGATGGACTGCTTAGATTCAACAAATTAGGGGAAGTTTCATTGATAGGATAAGAACGTTAAACAGAAAGTCGGTTAACTTAGTTGGACATCTCCAGTACATAGATGTCTTCTTCAGAACGAATCTGGTATATATTTTTTTGGATTTTTTGCATATGAATCACATGTGTACATTATACACCGAATTATCCAGTTTAAAAATGGACCCCACCAACACCAGGATTTCGATAGATATAAAAATTCAATTTAATCTTTCTAAAGATGCACTCAAAATATAAAACAGAAATCTGAAACACTGAAACACTTCAACGCTTTTTAAGGTCGTGAAAAGCATCCATTAAGACATTAGAAAGAAGACAACATGAAGTTCACCAAAGATGTTGGCCTTTTTGGAGATTTCATTTTGCGAAAGCTGTACAGTCGCATTTAAATACATACTTTTACATAAATACAATTTTTACTTGATCCCATATAATGACGAAGGCGAATAAAAGGTGATAATTATTTTCAACTAGATATGGTTTACGAGGAGAGGCTTAGAAATAAAATGACACAGGAATAGAAAGAATTACAGGTGTATAAAAATGAGCATGGAAACAAATTGAAATATTAATTTTCAAACTGAAATGGGAGTTAGGAGAGCTTATATAGATTACAAGAGTCTTAGAAACAAAAATGTTTTTTTTACTGTTTTACAGTTATATCCTAATCCTGTGTGTAATTTTGTTTCTAAGCCTCTGCTCGTAAATCATATCTAGTTGAAAATAATTGTCACCTTTTATTCGCCTTCGTAATTATGCGTCGGTGGCACAGTGGTTAGGACTCTCGCCGACCATGCACATGGTCCGGGGTTCGAGCCCACGCCAGCGCACACCTGATATCTATGGTCGGCCTGAAAAATTTGGGCTACCGATGTCCATGCTGAAAATTCCATACTTGTACCAAAAATACAGTGTGGAATCAAGCTGTAAATCAAAAAAATAAATAAAATGTGGAATCAAGTAGAAATTGTATCTATGTAAAATTTTTGTATTTAAATGCGATTGTACAGCTTTTGCAAAATGAAATCGCCGAAAAGATATCTTTTTGGTGAACTTCGTGTTATACTTCAGTGCTTACCACATTTTAAAAATTTCCCAGATGTAAAACTTTTAAAAGAAATTTAAACTTAAAATTAGCTCCGAAAACAATAATGATAAACCATTCATTTCTTCCTTACGAAGTACTAGTCGTTATTATGCAAAAATTATGATGAATTCTGTATACCCTATAAAATAAATTTATCCATTCTCCTCTTTTAATCTATACAATTAGAATCAGAAAATCGAAATTCTCCAAACAGTTCGCATGAACAAGATATGATGCCTCCACCATCGAGTACAATTGTTTTAAAACACTCTAAAAAGCATAAAACTATTGGTACACGTATTTTAAATTTCTTCTCTGCTCAACCTAAACATCGAAAATTGGATACTAATAATAATCGAGTGACAAATGGTTCATCAATTCATTCATCTGATCCATCCAGCCTAATGCATGATGATGATAATGATTCTTCTGAGTTAAGCTTGGGTCAACCATCATCGAATGAAAATTTACAAGTTAAAAGTTCACTTCGAAAAACACAAGCATCTAGTCGGCTTATACCAACACAGAAACTTGGTCCTCCGTGTAAAGCTCGTAAATTGGTTGCAGTGGATAATTCTGGCGAACAGTGGAACAGTAAGCAAAGTTTTTACTTGACAATAATGTGCTATTATTTTATTTTCTATTCTGAAGAACATGTTATCGTTACTGATGTGAAACATGTTGTTGAGCATTATGGTACAGTCTTTTAAAGCGTAGTATGTGTATTCTTACAGTGGTCAACACTACATGGTTTGGTTACAGGATTTCATCATGAGCTGACATCGGTTAGAGAACCATTGGATAACCCGCTGGGAGTACTGGACAGCTGTTTCATCAGCCTAGTTCGTGACCCACCGCCACGGTTCGAACCCAGGACCTTCTGGTTACAAGGCAAGCCAGCTCGTACACCATTAAGCTACTGGGACCCGATCCAATGGCACATGAATTCTAACTTCTGCCAGTTCACGATATAACGCAACCGCTGGCCAATGTCTTCGGTGAGTATTTGTCCTCACACCCAGCCGGCTGCACCCTAATGGTCATGACTTCCCACTGGAACTACAGGTAACTACCTACCTGAACAGGGCCAGTCGCCAGTGAGCATCTCATTGATACTTAAGTATTGGTTTGTGGGGATTTGGTTTGAGGATTAGATGATGAAAACCCTGTCCATTATCCAGTTCTTCATTTAGGATACCATTTGAATTGTCCCTTAAAATTAGTATTCATACAAACCTTAAAATCATTAAATGTTCCTTATCATAAAAAAACCAAATGTTTAGGTATCAGCTTTGATTAAACTATGCAGGTGTGTGTATTTCTATGTAGATTGAGCAGTAGCTGTTCACATTTATCATCAGTGTTAATTTCTGACGTTATATTATTATACAATCATTATTTCTTTGGGTTCTCAGTAGAAAATTGGGCTTCAACAACACATCCCAACTTTGTTCCATTTTCTGCTGTCCTCTTCAGCTGGACTCAAGATTGCTCATAATTTCTCCTCTCCTCTTCACACGACGTCTTCCATGTCTCTCTGTGACAACCCACTTGTCGCTTTTTTTATCGGGATTCTGCTCTAGCGTTAGCTTGGCCTACGATTTCATTCGACGGCCCTCTCACTCAATGTATTCCCAATCAATCCATCTCCATTTTCTCCGACATATTTGTTGAGCAATCGGATCTTCGTTGACTTGCCCACCAACGGAATTTCTTGTTGCTGATTCTTTCCGGCCAGCCGACAACTTCATCTTCAGTAGGGAGCCAGTGAAGTGGACAACTGTTGATAAAATTCTGTAACTTGTTGAAAATCCTTTTTCGTGACTCGCAGTACAAGTTTCTGACCCATATAGAAGAAATGACTGATCGACTTCACATTTGTGTTAAAAATTCGAATCTTTTTTTTCTGGTGTCTGAGGGCAGAAGATTTTCAAACTGGTTTCAGGTTGATTGCTGGATTTGACATCTTCATCCGTTGAACCTGGAGTTGAAACAGTGCTATCTAGATAGGTGAAGGAAGTAACTTCCGATGTTATTCAGTGTAAATATTCGTCCATTTAACTAGCATAACAGTAGTGCCGTTGACTAATCTCTCATTCCATTTTGATTAGTGGACCTCATGGAGTGAATTTCATCGCATTAATTACTATTGATATGCACATTTTTCAGTACAAATCTCGGTATCAACAATTACAGTTTTAGTCTTCAACTAGTACCTACTTAACTGTCATAAGGTTTTGAGTTACTTCACTTATTCTTATATTCTTATTCACTTATTGTTCCCTTGGGTTCCTAGTGGAACATAGCGCTTCAACTGCACGTCTCCACTTGCTTCTGTCTTCCTTCTACTGTACTTTTCACCTGCATCCATGCATGTTAGTCCATACTGTTTCAACTCCTCTCTCTTCACACCATCTTCACCATCTCCTCCATGTCACCCTTGCACTGACGACCCGCTCACCGCTTCCCTTTCGGCCTGGTTCCACTCGAGCAATAGCCTGACGCGTGCGCGATGTCACCCAGTGGCCTCCTCAGCGAGTGTCCATCCAATTAATCTCCACTTTCTCCTGCATATTTTTTGGTTGGCGATTGGTTCTTGTTTTGTTTGTTCCCATAGTTTCTTAGTTTGGCATTTTTTACTATGGATTAGACAGGTAGGAATGAACAACCCATTTTGCCATATAAACCGCTTATACTAATGACTTAAGTTTCTTTCTTGCTGCTGTATGACAAGTTGGAAGGGGGGCGTGGAGTCAATTAGCTGTCTTCAAAATGAAAAAATAACATGAAGGAATTTCAGGCTACAATGACAAGCTGCACCAGTTGAATAATTCGTGGGAAAACGGTCTATCAGTGAAAATATTCAGGGAAATAGGCTTCATGAATAGCTAAGACAATGAAGATTTCTTTTTTAATTTAGTTATAGATGGAATCATTTTTAAAAAAATGATTAACCTGTGAGCCTGACAATTTCGGTTAATAATATGTATGATGGAACAAAATTCAGTTACACACATAGATGCTTGTCGCTTTGTTTCCGCAATTAGTGTCTCGAGAAAGGAATACTAAAGGTTAGATAGGGTCGTAGATCTCCACACGAACCCATGTTAACTACAGAATGATTGAAAACCAAGAAACACTGGATTCTATCGTGCCCTTGTTTGGCACTATTTACCAATGCACACCAATGACAGCATCGGGGATCTACCCCAGGACTCTCGGGATACATGGTGAGCTGGCGGATCATTCAACCACAGGGATGGAATTCTATGACTCATGAATTATAACTTCTGTGAATTCACGACATAATCTTGTCACTAATCATTTACATCGATGAGGTTATGGTAGATGCTCACCGTTTAAATCTGTCATCCTATATGGAAACAGGCGCTTCTTGGTTGATTCTCGAAACGATGTCACTTTTTGACTAAATCTACACTGAAACTAACCTAAAATCCTCTCAAAATCTAAAATCTGAAAAATAAATAAATTTTAACAGTTTTTAATGGGGATCAATGTCTGAAAATAGGTCACTTTCATAAGTGTGAAAGGAAGCAGGATGGTTTAAAAAATGATCTTGTGTTTATGCGCCACTTTTCTGGGAAATACGTTTACCAAATCTTAGTGGTATATATATCTAACTGATAACAATAACATAATAATTTTCAAAAAAGCTAATCCTTACAAATCAATTTGTGAAAATTAATGTAATGCTTGCTAGACTTGGTACAGGACTGAGTTTCCTGGAGTTCTATTCAGAAGTCGTGACCAGTGAGTTCCATCCAGTCAAGTGTGAGGATGGAGTTCCCACCGACGACATTGGTTGTTGATCGCGCTGAATTCATAAATTGGTTAGAATTCATGGGTTGGCCATTGAATTGGGTGCTGGTAGCTGAAAAGTACACGAGCTTTCTTTGTAACCGGAAAGTCCTGGGTTCGAACCCCATTGATGGGTGCGTACTTCCGATGAAACAGGTGTCCAGTACTCCCTGATTTTCAGTGGTTCTTTAAATGATATCAATCCGTGATCAAACAAATCTAATCCTTACAAACCAGCTCTTGAAAAACATTAACTTCATTATGCACAATAACTTCACACAATATGTAAAATTTTCGCCATTATTTATTGCATAATATTTTCTCTTAGCCGAGGAGTTTCACGTAAAGCAACCATGTCCAGTACATCATGTGACGCAGTGATGCTAGATATGAAAAATAAAATAATCCCTTATGGTATTGTTGTTTGATCCCCAATAATTTAGCAACAGTAGAAGTAGCAAATCAATTAAAAATGTGTATGAGTACATTTGTCAAAACATGGGCATTAATGAATAATTATAACAATGAGAAGTAAAGGAAAATAAGACGCATTATCTCAGACTTAAGCGTCGGTGGCACAGTGCACTGACCATTCGCATGGTTTGCCTTCCGATCCCCGGCTGATTCACTCCTTTACCTCTCTAAGCCAGTAATAGGAATGGTAAACAGGAAAGGTTGGGTATGAGTCTAGCAACCTCATCCTGTAAAAATAAACACTGCTACCGAAACTTCAAGCCACTAGCTTGAAGCCCTATTTTCCACTGGGAACGTGAAGGGAAAAAAATCTCGGATTAAAATTCAGCCATCCCAGTGATTCAAACAGGCCGCCAATACTAATACTAGTAGTAAGAATAAATGTTAAGAAACGCACCTTGAACTGTCTACTGAGTAGGGAGAATTTCACCTAGGTACCGTTATGTTAAGGTGATGATCGATTTTTACTGAGCTATGAAACTGATTACTCACCTCAGACGTTGATTTGATTGAAAGTGTAGTTTCCTTGATGATTCGATATCACCTAGGTAGTCACAGGAAATTTTAGATCACACCGGGTAGGTTTTTCATACCTAAAACACACATGATCATACTAGTATAGCAATGTTCATTCACTAGATCAGGATCGATTCGATCTGTTTCTATGTCAACATTAGCTTACAGGTGGAATCTTTTAGCAAGTCTTTTTAAACTAAGCAATTGTACACAATAGCTATTGCTTTAGCCAAAAATCATTTCACATTTAGCAGTCAACATCTTAACCTTTTAATATACATTATATGTGAATCATACATTCGTTTAATTCAATTGAATAACATAACATTTCCTAATAAACTAGACAGTTTAGATCGATTTTATCACACTTAAGACTGTGTAGCATTATCATAAAATGAAATTTCCTTGTTCTTATTCTTGTTGGTGGTGGTGGGTGATCATTTCCTTCTAATAGTATGTTAACGGATTACTGGTTTCTTAACATGTAATAACGTGATACTAGTTGTTTTCATAATTGCTTTTAAAAGAACCAATGAATGACCAATAGATTAGTTGTTCAATAGACAAAATAAAATGTTGACTGGTTCTTTCTGTCTTCTCTTATTGAATATGCTCCAACTTATTGGTTATTCGGACATGTTTGTAATACGTTTTCTTAAGGTAGCTTTCTCAATTTTATGTATGTAATTGTGCTCTACCAGTATATATATTTGTGTGTGTGTGTGTGTAGGTGTGCGTGCACTTATATCCATTACGCAAGTTTTGTGCAAAGACAACAGACAAGACACGTGATACACTGGCACTCTCTCAACCAAGCACACATACACATATATGTATATCTAAATAGGTCATGATCTCTGCCCTAAGCTGCTACTGTGCACATTTTTTGTAGAATAAACAA